AAAGTAATCAACAGTAAGAAAATGAAGGCAAGTGCTTCGCCATCATCGCATAAAACACAAGACTGTCAGGTAAAATCAGTAAGAGGCAGTGATATTATATGACAAGGGGAAGGAGTCACTATCATCTCAGCTTGGCTTGGTAGGGTGATGTGAATGGCTCCACTTCAAGACCATTCCAGGGGCTGCAAGATGGCGAAGCACCTGCGGCCAAGCCTGATGACCTGGTTTCCAGCCCCAGGACCCACACGGTGGAAGGAGAGAACTGATTCCCGAAGGAAGTCTCTGGCTTCTGTATGGCACCACTGTGCCCCCAGCAACCTCCCCCCCCCAAAAAAAAATAATAAAAATGTGATTAAAAAATAAACATCCCAGGGCTGACCACGGTGGCACAGGCTGGCCCCTGTGGTCCCAACACTCAGGATGTAATTAAATAGCAACACAGACAAAAAGAAGCAGGAAGATTAAGGGTCTAGAATGGTGTGGAATGAGCAATTTTGCTCCTGCCTTTCTTCCTTCTTTTCTGGCTTGTTTTGTTTTGTTTGCTTGGTTGTTGTTGTTTGTTTGTTTGTTTTCCCAGAAGAGGTCTCTCTATGCTGTCCTGGAACTCACTATGTAGAGTAGGTTGGTCTTGGACTCACAGAAATCCATCTGCCTCTGCCTCCCACGAGTTTATTGAAGGCATGCACCACCATGCCCTGAATTTTTTTTTTTTTTTTTTATGTTAACATTTAGTCAAAAGAAGAGTCCAGAAGACATCTCGTGGGCTTCAAACTCAGGACGACCTATAAAAGTTACAGTCATTAGAGTTTTAACAGTTGCTGCAGTCCCAGAGAGCGAAGTGGCCGTATTTTGGCTCCCTACAGGACCTGATGGTCTGAACTGTGCAAAGAAGGAAGGGGTTACATGGGGAGTAGAGAGCACCATCCAGTCCCCTGCTCTGGCTAGCAGGGCAGGGGCAGAGGTGGCACAGACAGGAGGGTTCCATATTTCAGCCACATCTGTGGGTTTCACCTTTGGGTTTCCCATTCAGCTTGAAGGCCTAAGATAACGACCAAGCAGTGTCCCCTGACAGACAGAAGTATCTAAGGAGCCACAGGTACAAAGCAAGGACATTCCATTTCCTTCCCACTTCATTCTCTCTTGGATCTTACTGCTTTATCAGCAAATGTAAGAAAAAGAGCTTGATATTTATATTGCAGAAAATTCAAATAGGCTCATTAAAATATTAAACCCAATGTTACCACATGACCTGGAAATTCCACGCCTAATTATCTGCATGAGAAAAGTAAGGACATATGTCCACACAGAGGTGTGTGTGTTGGTATAGCATTATCCATAACAGAAAAACCATAGTCTTAATGAAGCCCATAGCTATGTGTAATTAATATTTGACAATTAAAATATATTTGGGGGGGGGCTGAGATGACGGCTTAGCAGTTGAGAGCACGTACTTTAGGAGGGCCTGAGTTTGATCTCCAGTGCTCTCCTCAGACAATTCAGAGACTCCTGCAAAAATCCAGCCGCAAGGGATCTGGCGCCTCTGGCTCCCACGGGCACTGCATTCCTGTGCACAAGGCCCCACACAGAGATGCACATATGCACAATTAAAATGCACCTTCTTTTAAAACGTATTTTTAAAATACCTGGAATCTATAGAGACAGGAAGTAAATTAACGGTTGCCAGGGGCTAGGGCAACGTGTACTGACTGCTAACTGTGCGAACTTTCCGGTGTGCTGAAAACATTCACTTCCCAGAATCATAAAAATGAAATAAAGTCGATGAGATGGCTCAGTGAGCAAAGGCGCTTGTCTCCGAGACTGAGAACCTGAGTTTCATCCCTGATACCCACACAGTAGAAGGAGAGAACCTACTTCCCCAAGTTATAGTCTGGCCAGCACGTGTACACATACAGAGAGAAACACACACACACAAACTCCAGTACAAAATAAAACCTTTTTTTTTTTTTTTTAAGGGTAGCTATGGTCCACTTTTCAAAACAGTTTTCTTTTGTTTTTTGTTTGTTTGTTTTCTCTGTGTAGCCTTGGCTGTCTTGAACTCGATCTGTAGATTAGACTGGCCTCGAACTCACAGAGATCCGCCTGCCTCTGCCTGCGAGTGCTGGGATTAAAGGCGTGCACCACCATGCCTGGCAATACTGTTTTCATTACAACATTGAAAAGCAGTGTGTGGGACTAAGGAGATGGCTCAGTGGGCCAACCATGCAAGCATGAGGGCCTGAGTTTGAACCCCCAGCACTGACATAGAAGTCGGGTGCAGTGACACACACTTGTCAGCCCAGAGCCAAGGAGTGGAAGATTGCTAGGCGGCCAGTCTAGCCAAGACAGCGAGCCCCAGACTCAGTAAGAAAGACCCTGCCCCCAAAGTGGGGCCAACAGTGATAGACTCCAGATGCCAACCTCTGCCTTTCACATGCATGGACGCAGATGTGTGTACCCACCACATATGTGCATACAGACATGCACGCTACCCCACACACACATGCATACATGCATCTGCACCCATATATGTATTCACACACACACGCGCACACACACACACACACACGTACACGTCTGCACCATACAGGCATACACACACGTTTGAGATTTCTAACACACTTTACAAATTCTAAATATTTAGAAGAAAAAAAAAAGTACAAAATTTCAGCTTAAATGAGATTGGGCTCCTATCGATGGGGGATAGCCTCTTCAGGAGCCTGGAATCCTCAGAACTTCCTAGTTAGCAAACACTGGAAACCGAGTGTGTGGGGGTGTGTGGCGGGGCGGGGGGGGGAGCAGGAAATCTCATTGACAAGGGGAGCATCTCTCATTAATGGACCACCTCCCACCTGTATCTTGTCACGAGACCGTCCAGTCCAGTCGGCCAGTGTGTGCTGCCTCCTCTGAGGATGATACAGGACAGCTAAGACTCTGGAATCCCTGTCACTCTGAGGTGAGGTGGACATTTGAAAAGTGTGAGTTCACATCTCAACCTGCTGGGACCTGGCCATTGTGATGTAAATGCCTACTGTAAAAGGCAAGAGGACTTTCCTCCCAGGCTGCTAAGGAAATGCTCAGTGCTTCCTTCAGTCCCCGAGATGGCGTCCCTGTGACCTGCTGCTTCAGCTGAACCATCGTCGTAATCAACCGAATGGTATTCATTTATACTTTCGCTGAATGGAAACTTACTGAGTAATCTCGGAGCAACACATCTGTTGCCTAAGACATCCCTGGATAGCAGCCATTTCTGTCCCCCCAAATCGCTTTGGTTTTAAACTTTCATCATTAAGGTTACTCCAAAAAATTAATTACCACAGGGTTAACTCTTCGAGGGAAGCAAATTCAACAGCCGTTTGCTGTTTTAAAGTACCATTACTGTTTTATTTTAAAGCTACTTCTCGTCAAGTTGCCCTCTTCAGCATGTAAGTGCTGGTTTTCACCTTCCTTCCAGCATCTTCATCACCAGCCAGATATCATCCCAACACCCCTAAGCTGTCATTGAGAGAAGGCAAGAGACCAAAAACGCTTACACATAAGCCAACTTCATGACTGAGCTACTGAAGAAACCCAGCACCTACTCCAAAGCACTGCCCCAATCAAACCCCTGTCCCCATTTTCTTACTCAGTGTCAAACCCTCAGTGATGTGCCCACATGTGGGATCCACAAAGGCTTTGTGCCTGGGTATCATTCCTTCTTTTGAGCCTCACACCTTTCACAAACAACAGGGAGAATTCCACCAGAACCATGCTGAAGGTTGCACCTACCTTGGACAGCAAAAGTAGCTGTTTAGACATGATTGATTATCAGCCAATTAAGGGAACTATTCAGAGTGCTAATTGAAGAATCTATTCAACCTACCCGGCAGCAAAAACATTCCCATGAGTATCCCAGTGGCCAGAGGGCTACCAAACACAGTCTATCTGCCCCACAGGAAAACCAAAAGCTGAAAAACCTAAGCATAGTTATTAAAAAAAAAAAAAAAAAAGACAAACTCCCCCAGACAAAGAATGAAGGAAAGTCTATGAATGAATCAACACATTCGTTCCTCTTTCCTGCTCAGATGCTCAGACACAGCTCCGGGTTGCAAACAGGTGGTACTACAAGAAATGCTTCCCTAGATGACAATTACAACTGCTGTGTAAAATTTCCCCAGTTGTTCAAGGGTCTGGGATTCAAATTTTATCCTGACTGCACTCCAGCAAATTCTGTAAAACCCACATTTCACCCTTTAGCAAACTTCTGATAAAGCAATAACTCCCAATATGCAAAAGAAAAATTGTGTGGTAAACTTTTGCGCATGAATTATCGCACATCATGTTCTGATAAAATATGCAGAGCGCGGTGGAAAATCTTTTTCAACCCCTCTAGAGAGACTACAAAAATCTCTACAGCATGCATGATTCTATATATTTTTAAGATGCCATATTGGTAACGACGGATGTCTTCTCCCTGTAAAAACTGCCGCATACATACTCACGCACACGGGGGAAAAAAAAATCTACGATCCCATAAACTAAATAAGGTCTAACACTTTTAAGCCAGGTCCAGCCGAGCTCTGGAGCACTTTAAAAAACCGTGATGACTCCATCCGAGTGGCGTGCATCCTGAAAGGGTTTGTTCCAGCAGTGATTTGTTTGTTTGCTGAGTTCTGCATCCAACACTGTCCAAACAGATGTGAGTTTGGAAGCGAAAGAGCAACACGTCCCCGGAACGCTGAGGTTGCCGGGCCCTCCCGGCTCCCGGGCTCCCGCGCTCCCGCGCGCGCTTTCCTTCCGCTGCATCCGCTGGGGCTCTGGGAACCACGGATCCGCCCGCTCCGGGAGCCCCGGGGGTGGGCATCGGGGAGCCCGGGAGCCGGCAGCCGGGTAGAAGCGCGGCCCCGCGGCCCCCAGCACAATGCGCCGGCGGGAACCAGGACGACTTGGCGCGGCCTCGCCCGCGGCCCGGCCTGGCCCTCGCCGCTCGCTCCCAGTGCCCTCGTCCGCCCGCCCGCGCTCACCGTTGCAGAATTGCAGCAGCGAGGACGTGTCGTACAGGCTGCTATAGCTGGAGAAGCCGTCCTCCATGCTGAGGCCGGGCCGCGCCCGCTCCGGCCGCGCTCACCCACACACTGCGCCCTGCCGAGCCGCCGCGGCGCTGGCGCTGGGGCCGGCCCTGCTGTGGCTGCCGCCGGTCACCATGGCAACCCGGGCCCGCCGCTGCCGAGAGCGAACACCCGGCGCCCGAGCTGCCCGCGAGGGGGCGGCCTCGGTGGCGTGGCCCGGGGGAGACGTGGCGGGCGGGGCGCAGAGCTGGGCGCGCCTGGGTCCCGCCTGGGTCCCGCCTGGGTCCCCACCCTTGGCCCCCTCCCTGGTCCTTGCCCCTAGGATCTCCAGACAGAATGCTCGGAGGTGGTGCGGGGACAAAGGGCGAGAAGGGAAGGGACGCTTGCAGCTCTTCCCGGAACCCCAGGGAACCTCTTGCCCACCCTCCGTCCCCTAGGCGCTCTCCCTGCGCCCTGGGCAGCTGCAGCACCAAACATGGACCTCAGTGGCGCTTGCCTCTGGCAGAGCGCCTCCTTCAGGGCCGCTTCCAACCAGGAGCGTCCCATCCGGGTCTGCACGTTCTCTAGCTCAGGGCTTGTAACTCCAGGAGAACCTGTGCCCCCCTGGGGGGGGGGGCAAGGATGCAGAAAGAGGCTACTCGCCCGCCTCCCCCTGTGACCAGCCCCATTTGACGCTGTGAGTTTACGCTAACTTCTTACAGACCCAGAGATCTGGGCTCTCTATGAGGAAGGGAATGTCAGCCAAAGAAAGAAACAAACCCAAGCCTCATTAATGCACCCAGTCTATACATACAAGTGGTAGCTGGTTGGTGATCTGAATCTCAGTACCCACGGCCAGAAATAAAGATGTTGCCAAGGTGACCAGTGAGCAAGCAGGAGAGAAAGGAAGGCTTAACCCAAGGGTAGGCTCTGTCCACCAGAAGTAAAACTCTGAAGTTTTAGGTATTGACCTCTCCGGGGCTCTGAAGTCTATCTTTCTGGAAGTCCCCCTACCCCCCCACCCCCACCCCGGCCAACATACACACTCCATTAGTTGACAAGGCTAGGGATGGGGTTTGTCTTAAAGCTGTAGGTAGAAGGGAGATGGTCTGCCTGGTCCTGTCCTAGCTGAGACCACACTTAGAAAACAAGGTTATTTAGTGGAAAGTATTGGAGGGTGGAGACAGAAAGGCTCCAGATGCTGCTGATTCAATTGTGCAAGGTGGGTGAAGGAGGGCCATGCTGGCAATGATGCCAGAAAGAAGAGCAGGGCCTGCTGGCGGGTCAGGAGGTTTGGCCTAATGTGAAGGAAGGGGCTCATGTTGCAGGCACATGGGGAATGAGATTGGGCAGAGGGAAAAGGGCCAGACAAGAAGCCTGTAGGGGAAGAAAAAGCTGGACTCTGGAGAGCATGGACAAAAGCAAGTGTTCAGGCAGACAGACCTGTGGATTGGTGGGTTGGAGGGCTGGGGTTGGGTGTGACCTGGACAGCCAGTTGTCAAACAGCTCAATGTGTCTTAAGTGCTCCACAAATGAGACACCAAGGGCCCAGTTGGTCAGAGGGGGGTGGGGTGGGGGATGGGGGGAAGGATGGAGGATGGGCTGCAGGGAAATTACTATAGGACAAGGATGAGGAAGGTCAAGTGAGGACAGCAAAGGGACTCTGTGGCAGTTGTAGTGATGGAACTGGGAGACACTGACAAAGAGATCATGAATGAGCCTTCCCAAGGAGAAAGTTGGGGAGGTGCTGGTATCAGAGAGGCCGAGAGGAGGGAATGCTGAAAGAGCAGACAAGGAAGTCAGCCGCTTAGAAGAGGAAATGGCCTCAGGAAGCTGTCAGTGCAGAGCTTCCCAAAGGTTGGCGCTGTCCTGCATTCTCTGTAAAGCAGCATCTAGGGGGACCAGGCTGGAGGAAAACCCATGCACGCTATGGCAGAGGTCTCCAGGCGGCCGGCCCCCTTGTTCAGAAACAGTGTAGGGAGGAAGGTAGAAGGCGGGCTTCTGGACACCACAGGAGGTGCATGTCCCAGACAGGTGGGAAGGAAGAGACCAAGGAAGGGTGATTGACAGTTAGGAGTCCTCACTGTCCCCTACCAGAGTCGGGGGTCCTCTTCATCTGTAAGAAGCAGCTACTACAGGGAAGGGAGTTCAGAAGGGAGCGATTTAACACCTCTCTTTTCCCATGCTCTCCTCCCAGCCTTGTGCTTTCTCCCCTCTAGCTTTCAGTAATACTTTATGACCTATAGGATAGCTGCTATAAAAAGCTGCAGTGTGGGCCTGGGAAGATGGCTCAGTGGTTAAAGCACCGGTTATACACAAGTGGGCCTGAGGTGAATGCCCAAGGGCCAGATAGAACTAGACATGGTAGCTCCCACTGGTAATCCCAGCATTCCTACAGGGAGATGGGAGACAGACCCTGGCACTATGTGGGAGTTAATGGGCCAGCTACTCTGGCATGTTCAGCGGTGAATAAAACAAAAAGAAACTGCAGTGCACGCCTTTAAACCCAGCACTTGGTAGACAGAGGGAGGCAGATCTCTGAGTTCAAGGCCAGCCTGGTCTACAGAGCCAGTTCTAGGACAGTCAGTGCTATACAGAGAAACAAACCAAACAAACAACAAGAAAGGAAGAAAGAAAGAAAGGAAAATATAAAAAAGAAACTGTTTCAAACAAGGTGAAAGCAAGAGCTTACACCCAAGGTTGTCTTCTGACTTCTATAGCACACCACAGCAATTGCAGTCCTGAGCTTACACACACACACACACACACACACACACACACACACACACACACAAGCAGACGCTCACATACAGAGAGAAAACAAGGTCATGTGTAAACATGGAAAGAAAATGGTAATTATATATAAAAGGTGATTCTTTTTAACTGTCCCAGGTTTGGTGTACTTTGTGGCTTTGTGTGATTTGGTAGATACAACCAAAGTCTGAGAATGGGAAAGAAAAAAAAAAAACTGGAATGGGAAAAGAAAAATACACCCAGTTAAGAGGCGAACCAGAAGAGGAGATTTTCTTACAGGAGATTATTTCCACTAGAGTGAAATTACAAATAAGAGTTCATTCAGAACTCAGGCCTCTCACTTTTGAGGCAGTAAGGATCATGATTACACCCTTAACCTCAGGGATTAAACAGCTGCGGTTTTCCCACAATCATAAAATCTGGGTCTAAAAACAAAAGCAAAATTTAGAATAATTAGAAGGATATGCATTTTAAGTCAATTAGGTATAATCTAGACAGCATTTAAAAAGGGATCTAAAATGTTCGAGAAGAACCTCTAAAGGCTTAATTGATAATGTGTGATTTTTTTGTGCCCAAACATTTTAACAGACTATTTATTCCACGTCACTTTGAGATAATTTGTGACCTGAGCCCAGAAAATGTTGTCATTGTAATTAATGAGGCAGACTCTCCAGGACAATGTAACCACAGTGCTCAGTGGGATTAATGACAGCATTTGTTCGATGTGTGAAACAAGAGAGAGAGGGAGAAAGGAAAAATGGGTGTTTTGTAGCCTTTATTCACAGAGAAACAATAAGGAAAAAACCATCCCGAAATGTGAGCTGTGCATGCCCATTGTTTCACTCAACAGTCTCCAAAAATATCCACCCAGTGCCAGGCACCACACTTAGGGGTAAGACTGTACAGAGAGCATAGCTCTGGCCAAATCACCTCCAGCCACGACGCCAAGTTACCTGGTCATAACAGGCACCAGAAAAAGGAAGAAGAAACAGAAATTTCCCTTCTGTGAATATATTGGAAGCAGGGACGTGGGGGGATCTTTGTGTGTCCACATGCGTGTCAGCACAGGTACAACAGCCAGAAGGTGGGGTAACACAAGTATGCATTGGTGATGGGCTGGATTAACAAAATGTAGGGTATCCATGGGATGGGATATGATTTCAACTTTAAAAGGAAAGGAATCCCGACACCTGCTGCTGCATAGTTGAACTTTGAGGACATTGTGCCGAGCGACTAAACCCTTTGGGATCAAAGGGTTCTTCCACTTATATAACTGTCCTAGAGCCGTCAGGATCAGCGATGGGGGTGGAAGGATTGGTAGGCACTGAGGTGTGAGACTTTGGGAGCTGCTGCTTGCCAGGGTTACAGTTACAGTTTGGAATGATGAAAATGTTCTAGCAGCCTGGAGATGTGGCGTGACAGAGTGCTTGCTAGGCAAGAAGGAGGAGGAAAGTTCAGATCCCAGCAACAAATACAAAACAAAACAAAACAACAACAACAAAAAAACAGGCATGGTCCCATGCATGCCTGAAACCCCAGCAGTGAGGGAGGCAGAGAGAAGAGGATTGCTAAGCCTGGATAGCTGCCAATATAACTAAAAACAAACAAACAAACAAAACAACGACAACAAAAGCCTGTGAGCTCCAGGCTCACAGAGAGCTCTTGCCTTAAAACAACAAGGTCCATTGATACTCAGTTCCCTTTTCTGGCCTCCATGTGTTCACACAAGCACATTCACAAGCGAACACACACACACACACACACACACAAGAACATATACCACCCCTCCTCAGAAAGAAAAAAAAATGAAGGAAGGAAGGTCATGAAAACAGAACACGGCATCTACAGGCCACGAGGACTGTCTTTCACAGTGCTCAGAGGAAGCATCCCGGCCTACACCTTGACCTTCACCTTGGCCTTATAATCTCTAGAATCACAGACAATAAAGTCACCCTGTGTGTTACGGGAGGTCATCAGAGAATCTCAAAGCCAAGGGTTAGTCAGTCTGCAGATTCCAGCACCCACCCCCGATATTAAAATATAAGATATAAATCAAGTATGGTAGGGACACAGCTCTAATCTCCGCACTTTGAAAGCTGAGACAGGAGAATCACAAGGCTGAAGTCATCCTGGGCCACATGGGGAGACCCTGGCTCAAAAACGATATATGATGTGTACGTGATACAATGGAAGTAAATATATATCATACCCACACATGACAAATGTTCTCTAAAGTGAGAAATAGAGTGGGTCTGAGCATCAGCAAAGACCTGTGGCTTCCTGCCTGCCTGACCACGCAGCTGATGTTCTGCAACCTCCAGACACACGGGTGCTCAGCTCCTTTCAAAACTCAACAATCCTAGTGATTAAAAAGATTTTTTTTCCTAGATGTCCTTGCCAAAACATCCTTCATC